TCATGATTGTATTCTGCATCCCTAATCCTACTTAATACCTAAACCCAACCCTAACTATTAATAAGCAGCTAATTAGCAGTTTTTTAGGCAAAAGTCATAGTTAATGCTTTGTTAATTGCTAGAATTGTATCCTAAAATGAAGTCTGACCAAGATGTAACTTCTTATGTAACAATATTATATTTTACCTTGAGCTCAGCAGGCAGGCGGCCTATATACCTAAACCACCCTAATAACTAATAATGAGCAAACTAGGAGATTAATGGTCACAGTTAATGGTTTATTAATAACAAGACTTGTATATTTTAAGAAAAAGCCTAAGCGACTGTACTGACAGTCTGATTTGCATTGCAATTTCGAAGTCTAACATTTCACCGTCCCACACAAACATGAATGCTAAACTCCCCCGTGACATGTTTAGACAAAAGAGATGGATTTTGCTAATTGCAGTCCTTCTGCGTCTTAATTAGCGATGTTGATTATAACGTACCAAAACAAATATTGAAATGAGCCCGACCGAATTCTCTCTCTCAGCCCTGACTTTTCATCTCCACCACAATTTTGTCAACAAGCCATTCCTGTTCATCTACTTAAGTGATGTTCCATAACAGCACATGGGCCACACAGCGAGCCGCCGGCCGCTTTCAGACAGCAGGAATGATCACAGACAGTGGCACGTCTCGACACGCCACACCAGCCTCTGGTATATATCACCATCTGCATTTTCTGTTCAGCTTCAGCGAGATCCTACACACTGCACTGTAAATAAATGGCGTGTGTGGGTTACGGCATACTACAAGTGCTTGACAGAATTATACTAAAAAATACAGTGCAGGCTGTCAAATTTCTGCATTTTATGGTAAACTACTGTATTTTATTGTTTCGTCGTACAGTATTTACCTGTAATATGAACTGAATTTTACTGTAGGACAGATATGCAGCATATTACTGTATTTTAAAGTTGCATTTGGAAAACTAATGTAGTTAACGGTAAAGATTCACTCACTGGCCACTTTATTAGGTACACCTGTCCAACTTCTTTTTAATGCAAATTTCTAATCAGCCAATCACATGGAAGCAACTCAATGCATTTAGGCATTTTCAAGACGATCTGCTGCAGTTCAAAGCGTGCATCAGAATGGGGAATAAAGGTGATTTAAGTGACTTTGAATGTGGCATGGTTGTTGCTGCCAGACGTATTTCAGAAACTGGGATTTTCACGCACAACCATCTCTAGGGTTTACAGAGAATGGTCCGAATAAGAGAGAATATCCAGTGAGCGGCAGTTCTGTGGGCGCAATTGCCTTGTTGATGTCAGAGGAGAATGGCCAGACTGGTTCCAGCTGATAGAAAGGCAACAGTAACTCAAATAAGCACTCGTTACAACCGAGCTCTGCAGAAGAGCATCTCTGAACACACAACACGTCCAACCTTGAGGCGGATGGGCTACAGCAGCAGAAGACCACACCGGGTGCCGCTCCTGTCAGCTAAGAACAGGAAACTGAGGCTACAATTCACACAGACTCACCAAAACTGGACAATAGAAGATTGGAGAAACGTTGCTGCTCTGATGAGTCTCCATTTCTGCTGACACATTCGGATGCTCGGCTCAGAATTTGGTGTCAACAACATTAAAGCATGGATCCATCCTGCCTTGTATCAGCGGTTCAGGCTGGTGGTGGTGGTATAATGGTGTGGGGGAGATTTTCTTGGCACACTTTGGGCTCATTAGTACCAACTGAGCATGGTGTCAACGCCACAGCCTACCTGAGTATTGTTGCTGACCATGTCCATCAGTGTACACATCTTCTGATGACTACTTCCAGCAGGATAACACGCCATAAAGCGTAAATCATCTCAAGACTGATTTCTTGAACATGACGATGAGTTCACTGTACTCAAATGGCCTCCACAGTCACCAGAGCTCAATCCAATAGAGCACCTTTGGGATGTGGTGGAACGGGAGATTGGCATCATGGATGTGCAGCCGACAAATCTGCAGCAAATCTGTGATGCTATCATGACAATATGGAGCAAAATCTCTGAGGAATATTTCCAGTAGCTTGCTGAATCTATGCCATGAAGGATTAAGACAGTTCTGAAGGCAAAAGGGGGGCCATCCCGGTACAGTAATTATTAAAACAGAAAAATTAGTTATCTTAACTTTAAAAAAAAAAAAACTTCTTGCTAAAAATGATGGTTTAAAGAATAATGAGAAACTACAGGGTGGGTGAAAGGTAAATATGGGCAATGTTTAACAGTCTCTAAAAAAAGTCTCTAAATAGACTGTAGATAAGAAATATTGTTTCATATTTCCTGTATGGATGTAGTCTAGCTACGTCTTTATTCAACAGTTTTTATTGCCTAGTTACTTTTCAACCTGCGACTGTTAAATAGTGTTTTGCCCTTTTAAGCTTTGACTCGTATCTCAGTGTTAAAGTCCACTTGAATTCTGTGTGAAACAGAAATTGTGATCATCTTTTCTATTGCGCAACAAAGTAACGTACGTCTACCAACAAATGTAGGCGGGGCTTGGTTTTGTCCCTGGGGAATTGATTGGATGGTTAGTGTTTGCTATTGGTTGATCTTGTGTAACCGACAGGTTAAGTCAGATTTATTAGCCCCCCTGTACATTGTTCCCTTAATTTCTGTGTAACGGAGAGAAGATTATTTTCAACAAATTTATAATCATAATAGTTTTATTGTCTCATCTCTAATAACTGATTTATTTTATCTTTGCCATGATGACTGTAAATAATATTAGACTAGAGATTCTTCAAGACATTAGTATTCAGCTTAAAGTGACATGTAAAGGCTTCACTAGGGTAATTAAGGTGAAGTTAGGGTAATTAGGCAAGTCATTGTATAACAGTGGTTTGTTCTGGAGACAATCCAAAACTAATATTGCTTAAGGGGCGAATAATATTAACCTTAAAATGGTTATTGTTGTTGCTTTTTTAAAGATATTTACTCTATTGTTCAACTTTAAATAATGTGTCGTCACACAAGTGCCAGTTCATTCTGTATCTTGTTCAGATCACGCACCTAAAGGAGTGATTGCGATCTAATTCAACAATGTAATTAAACTCCAAAGATGTAAAACGAGAAATGATTATCCGAACACGTGCATAATTAAGGAGAGTCTCAAAAGTGCAAAACCACCAACAGTTTCTTTCTGATTTTCCAGTGTTAGCCACAGCCATATCACCCTGCTGCCCAAGACCGGTAACTCACTGAGGCTAAGCAGGGCTGACCCTGGTCAGTACCTGGATGGGAGACCACTTGGGAACACTAGGTTGCTCTTGGAAGTGGTGTTGGAGAGGCCAGCAGGGGGCGCTCAACCTGTGGTCTGTGTGAGTCCTAATGCCCCAGTATAGTGAAGGGGACTCTACACTGTCAGTGGGCGCCGTCTTTCGGATGAGACGTTAAACCGAGGTCCTGACTCTCTGTGGTCATTAAAAATCCCATGGCACTTCTCGTGAAAGAGCAGGGGTGTAACCCCGGTGTCCTGGCCAAAGTCCCTTAATAGGCCCTTACGATCCCAATCATCCCCATCCACCGAATTGGCTCTATACTGTCTCTCCACTCCACTAATAGCTGGTGTGTGGTGAGCGCCAGGGGTGGACTGGGACTAAAAATCAGCCCTGGCACTGTAGCCACACTAGCCCACATTACCACACCGCTACAGCCCCATCCACGGACACGCACATTCACTACTTATATTAGTATTATAAGCAGTACCGTATGTAATAGATATTTAAACATTTAATGTATTTGAGTGGAACAAAAACAACCCATTTATAACAAATTTATACATGCAATAATTTCATTCATTCATTTTCTTTTCGGCTTAGTCCCTTTATTAATCTGGAATCGCCACAGCGGAATGAACCGGCAACTATTCCAGCATATGTTTTAGTGTTTATGTGTTGCTCTTACTGTTTATTTGACATTCTTGCCAGATTTTGATTACGTCCATGTAACCTCTGATGGGGTCAGTCACTTTCGAAACCAGCCGGCCATTGCCGATTGGGCCAATGCTCAACATTTATTACTATTAATACTATCATCATCATCATCATACTCGCATCTTGCAAGAGATAAAAGCTGCCTGCGTGTAAAAACAATACATTTAAAATAAATAAATAAATAGCATACCAGCCCACATTTAAAAAACGGTCCGGCCCTTTTGGCATTTGCCAGATGGCCAGTCCGCCCCTGGCGAGCGCACTGGTGCCCTTGTCCTGTGGCTGCCGTCGCATCATCCAAGTGGATGCTGCACACTGGGTGCGTTGAGTGTATGGTCATACACAATAAATGCTCAATATAAACACACATTACATATTAATCCCTGAGGATCTGAAGTGTTTTCTTCTCAAATTATACAGTATGTATGTGTTTAAAGGTTTACACTCTAACAGTGGCAAATTGGA